CATGTAAAAGGGTTGGTTTTTCATTGTGTTTCAGCAGGGCTGTCCCGGCTATTAAAAAAAAGAGCCACATGGACACATATAAATCATTTGGTTAGTTGGTGTTAATAATTCACATTCGTGTGACTCACAGCCCCAGATTAATAGTCTCTTGAAATTGCTTTATTAATCACTGTATTTATGAAGACTTGGAGAAGATATCAGTGGTGATATTCTGAGAGGCTTCTATATGTTCATTCAAAGTTACCCCGCAATAAAAGATGGCTTACAGTAGGAAAGTAAAAGCAATAATGATTCTCTGAAAATAAACAAAAAAAGAACTTTAAATAAGTGAGCCCTTTATACCAGTTTCCCTTCTGAGATAAGATACTTGCTATATTTGCTTTTTCTAAAAAACAGCTTATAATTAATGATGGTCCTGATTAAAGATGTAGGAAAAATTTTACATATGTGATTTCCATCATATTTGGGTGGTGATAGATTTCGAGGTGTGGCTGAGCTGCGTCCTGGTTAGAAAGGCTAAGTATGTACATGAGGGGGAGACGATGCCACCGAGTCTGATATGGACACTGATGAGGTCTGTCTGCCAGAATGACCAGACTTCGCAGGATGTCACAGAACAGCCAGGTGACTCGTAAAAGTACAGGTTAACCTATAGCCTTGGTGTGAGCCAAGGACTAGGAGCTCGTTTATCGTAGGGCTTCCCTAGACTCACCAAATTGGGATTTGTCTGCACATTAAGGTGGGTAAAGCACTGGTGTGGATTTACCTTCACTATTAATAAAACTGATCCTGTCTTTCATTCGCCTAAGTCTCCAGTTTTCTCTGCAGCCGTGGGACAGTGGGCAGCATCCTAGGTGCGGTCCAGCCCTGCACGGTCAGCTTGTCTCTGGCATCCTCCCCGTTCCTGATGTCTTCTGGCAGCTGGTCCTCCCGCCCTGGGGTGTTTGCAGTGTCTCCCCTGCCTTCTCACCACCTTGGGGCTCCTTCACCTGTAGTCTAGTTGGGGCCCTGTCACCTGACTCAGAGCACCTTCCGTATTAGTTTCCTAGGGCTGCCACAACAAAGTACCACAAACTGTGTGGCTTAAAGCAACAAGTTGATTCTCTTCGCAGTTTTGGAGGCCAGAAGTCCAAAATCAGAGTGCGTGTAGGGCTGTTCTCTCTCTGAAGCCTCGAGGGGGGATCCTTCCTTTCCTCTTCAACACCACTCCAGTCTCTGCCTCTGTCCTCACGTGGCCACCTTCCCTCCGTGTCCGTGTCTGCATGTGGCACTCTCTCTGTGCGTCTCTGTCCAACTTCCCCTCTTAGGTTCCTGTGAGCCTCTGATCACAGCATTTTCATGCACCAGTCAGTCACCGTGTTTTAGATGTGTTTCTGTTTAAAGGCTTCTTATTTAATAATGGCCGACTCATTAGCACTGAGCTCCGGCCAACAACACTGCAGCTCGCGCCCGAAATGCACGGATTTTCTCCGTGAGGCACGTGACAGCCTTCTCGAGCTCAGCAGCCCGGGGCGCACTTCGTGCCGGCCACTGTCAACAGTAGAATCACCAACACAGCAGAAAAATGAGGGAAATGTTGCATGAAATGGGCAGCAAAACAAGTGGAGAGGACACTTGTTTACAGAGGAGCTGAGATCAGGCAGAGGGCCGTCTTGTCGGACCTCAGCGGGGAGCGTGTGCTGCAGGACCCCCAGTTTCCACCTCGCCGTGCGTGCCCGCTAACGACCGCGCAGGCCTCCCGAGAAGGGCCCTGGGCGTTGCAGATAAATCTCAGGCAGTCGGCGGCCTTGCAGGTGCGCCATCCGCAAGCAACAAGGCGGACGGTGCCTGCCCATGTAAGCTTTCGTTTTACAGACAAGCTTTCTGAAATATTTTAGGTGACCATTTTTTCCCCCCTAAATGGGTCGTTTGTGAAAAGAATATGGGAGGAAATATATTCTGATTATAACGACAGGGATGTGAAAATGGCCCTACCTTAGCTCCTCCCCCCTGCTTGCTTTCCTGCTCTGGACCTAGCTGCCCTCTCTCTGGGTCCTGAGATCTTGAGACCAGGTTGGCGGCCGTCACCCTATTGGGCAGGGCCCTCCCAGTGGTCAGCCATCCGTCTTCTGTGGACAGCTTTCCCCAGCGCTTCCATATCTCTCCCGTAGCTCCTTGTTCTGTACACAGGGCCCTCTGTGTGGTGTGACAGTTCTCTCCTTTCCTGTCTTCTCTTAGGCTAGGAGTTAGGAACGTCTCTCCTTTTCTTGCTTNTTCTCTCCTTTCCTGTCTTCTCTTAGGCTAGGAGTTAGGAACGTCTCTCTTTTTCCTGCTCCTGGAATATCATTCTCAGTAAATGATCTTTGAATGGGTGATGTCTGAGTGAGTGGGACGACTGGGGAACTACCAAGAGCAGCTGTATTTGGGGCTCCTCGTGGCCATTTCGTGTCCCTTGGGGCTGTCTGTGAAGTTTTCTCATGCGTCTCAAAGAATGGTGACCGGGCGAGTGGATGGAGCGAACCTTCAGCGGCCGCTGGTCATCAGAACTGGCCTGGCCCTTGTATTGAACGCCTCCTGGGTGGAAGGCAGCGTTTGGGCTTTGTAGGATTCCTAGAAGACCTGTAAGAGGTGGGGTCCCACTCTCAGGGAGCCTACAGGGTGGTNAGTTTTCTCATGCGTCTCAAAGAATGGTGACCGGGCGAGCGGATGGAGTGAACCTTCAGTGGCCGCTGGTCTTCAGAACTGGCCTGGCCCTTGTATTGAACGCCTCCTGGGTGGAAGGCAGCGTTTGGGCTTCGTAGGATTACTAGAAGACCTCTAAGAGGTGGGGTCCCACTCTCAGGGAGCTTACAGTGTGGTTGGGGAGGGAGAGTGTACGCAGCTGGGGAGGGAGAGTGTACGCAGCTGAAAGCTTACAGTTCAGGGAAGAGTTAGGTAAGAGTACAGAGCCTGCAGTTGCTTCCCTGGAGCCCTGTTTGATTTTCGAACGAGCGTGCAAGGTCGGGGAGTATTGTGGGAGTTGGAGGAGGGGTTCCTTCTGGCTGGCATGGCTNTCCCACTCTCAGGGAGCTTACAGTGTGGTTGGGGAGGGAGAGTGTACGCAGCTGGGGAGGGAGAGTGTACGCAGCTGAAAGCTTACAGTTCAGGGAAGAGTTAGGTAAGAGTACAGAGCCTGCAGTTGCTTCCCTGGAGCCCTGTTTGATTTTCGAACAAGTGTTCAAGGTCAGGGAGTACTGTGGGAGTTGGAGGAGGGGTTCCTTCTGGCTGGCATGGCTTGGCAAGCCCTGTGGGGAAGGAGGGTGGGTGCTAGGTCTTGGAGGATGGGTGAGGATTGCCAAGGCCCACGGAACAAGGGGAGAGGGCACGGTGTGAGCAGGGAGCCGGAGGCACCCGCATTNTCCCACTCTCAGGGAGCTTACAGTGTGGTTGGGGAGGGAGAGTGTACGCAGCTGGGGAGGGAGAGTGTACGCAGCTGAAAGCTTACAGTTCAGGGAAGAGTTAGGTAAGAGTACAGAGCCTGCAGTTGCTTCCCTGGAGCCCTGTTTGATTTTCGAACAAGTGTTCAAGGTCAGGGAGTACTGTGGGAGTTGGAGGAGGGGTTCCTTCTGGCTGGCATGGCCTGGCAAGCCCTGTGGGGAAGGAGGGTGGGTGCTAGGTCTTGGAGGATGGGTGAGGATTGCCAAGGCCCACGGGACGAGGGGAGAGGGCACGGTGTGAGCAGGGAGCCGGAGGCACCCGCATTAGTGAGTGCATCCGAACTGGGGGCGACGTACGAGGGAAAGGCAAGTTCTAGAATTTAGTTCTAAAATTGAATTAGGCTCTGTAGGTAAGGGCACGGCCCCACCCGGGTCGCGTAATGATGCTTGCACTGTGGCATGAGCTGGGAGCAGGGCGTAGAGGAGGGAGGAGGTCCTTTGCAAGCTGGAAGAGAGAGTTAATGAGACTTCTATGATCTCGGCCCAAGTTCATGTCAATAGCATCTCCAGAGCTCACTTTTTTTTTTTAGAAGAAATGAGTAAAAGAAAGTAGAGACACTTAAGGGTGGAAAGAGAAGTATGTTACTCCATCCATGAATCCCTAGAGAATGGGGCTTGAGTTGGCGTGGTCTTGGCTTTTGAATCCACATTAGATTGAAATTTTTTGTGTAAATAGGGTGCGGATGAGGGGTGAACAGTACCTTGTTAGCGACTCTCCTCTGGACACGTGTTGATGGACAAGGGAAAGGCTGGGAGGAGCAGGCGGAAGGCAGGGAGGAGCACTCTGTGAGCTGGTCGAGGAAAGGTGTTCAGCCCATGAAACGCTTTGCAGAGGGAAAGTAAGTTGCAGGACAAGGTAGGATGGAATCAGGTGGGGGGACAGTGAAGAGGGTCCTTGCGGGTAAACGGGAGCAGGTGCTGGTGAGCGCTGCGGGGAGAGGGAACACGTCCGGAGGAAATGACTGGTGTTTGGTGCAGGACCTTGGACCCAGGTGACCTGATCCTTTTAGAGCTTAAAGTGGCAGTGTGGGGTCAGAACATTTCTGTAACCCAGATATCCCAAAGGCACGAATTGGTCATACTAGGTCTTTCCCACAACAGCTGCTTTGCACGGTCCCCCTCGGTCCTCGGGAAGATAACACCCACAGCCTTGTACAACCTCATGCTGTGAGTGCTGGACACTGAACGCGTGTGCTGTCGACACAGACTGCTGGGGGGGGTAAGACCTAGCTCTAGGGAAGGTCGCTCAGAGGTTGGCCCTCTGGGTAGCCGAGTGTCTGCCAGTCCGGCCTCTGTCCGTGGGACCCTCCCAGCTGAGAGCGGACTTGGCCCGCAGCACTGCCCATGGGACAGCCCCTCTGGGATGACCCGCCACCTCGAGCAGGGGCAGTGGCTCTGGGGCGGAGCCCCTCGGTATGCCCCCTCCCCTGTCACAGACACATAGGCTGTGGGACAGTGGGGAGGGTCAGGCTGGGGTGTAGGACTTTACAGTGTGGGCGCCACAGTCGGTAGCAGAAGTGCCTGATGTCGGTTTCCTCTCCGCAGACGGGCACCATGCCGGTGGAGAGGATGCGCATGCGCCCCTGGCTGGAGGAGCAGATAAACTCGAACACGATACCCGGGCTCAAGTGGCTGAACAAGGTGAGCCCATGGCGCGGGGGTGTGTGTGTGGGGGGGTGAGTGTGTGTCTGTGTGTGTGAGAGTGTGTGTCTGTGTGTGTGTCTGTGTGTGAGAGTGTGTGTGAGTGTATGTATGTATGTATGTGTGTGTATGTGGGCATGTGTCTCTGTGTGTGTGAGTGTGTGTATATGTATACATGTGTGGGTGCGTGTGTATGTGTGCATGTATGCATGTGTGTGTGTNTATATGTATACATGTGTGGGTGCGTGTGTATGTGTGCATGTATGCATGTGGGTGTGGNTGTATGTGTGTGTATGTGGGCATGTGTCTCTGTGTGTGTGAGTGTGTGTATATGTATACATGTGTGGGTGCGTGTGTATGTGTGCATGTATGCATGTGTGTGTGTGTGTGTGTGTAGACCTGTGTGTACATGTGCGTGTGTGTGTGTACGTGTGTGTGATCCTTACTAAAGCATGTGCATATGGATCTCTGAAAGTAAAATTGTTCTTTGTGTTCAAAATCTTATGCTTGTTAATTGCAAAAAAAATCAACCAAGCAAAACTGATAATAAAAACATCAAGTTATTCTATAATATTTTTACCACCGTCTCAGACTGTAGCCTCCCCCTTGGCTTACAGTTTCAGCTCGCCGCTGGTAGTTTGGATGACTGCTCACGGGGAGCCTCTTGTTGTATTTTCTTACCTTCTTCCTTCTAAATTCCTTGCCTGCTTCCCCTGGCTCTCTAGGATTAGAGGACATGAGGCTCCAGGTTTCATATTGGGAATGGAGCATATTGATTACTTTCCAACATTCTCCATATGAAGAAAACTTTTGTTTTTGTCTTTCAAAAAAGTCTTCTCTTTAAAAAGTTATTTTCATTTCTCTTTTTTATTTATCAATTACAGCTGACATACAATATTATGTTGGCTTCAGATGTGCAGCATCGTGGTTAAAACTGTCTTTTCTGTTTTGAAACCCTCTTTGTGTGTCTGCTTGTCACAGAAAGAAGCATTCAGTCATTTATCCCCTCTCCCATATACATAAAGACTCCTTATTTGTCCCCTGCCCCCATGTGCATGAACTCTCCTTATCTATCCATCTCAACTTAATTGATCCTACCTGGTAGGGGTGACTCAGGGAGACAGTGTCTGTAAAAATAAAGAACACCTGAGGTTATGTAGGTATAATTTAGAAAAGCAACTACATGTAACAGATCATGCCTTTAAGAGGCGAGGGAGGTTTCTCTCCCACTACCAGGAATATTGCAGTTCTTCTGAGAAAGTTCCTTTGTCTTCT